TTTGGCTCACGGTTTCAGAGGGTTGCAGCCTACAAAGGAAGTGTAGTAAAGAGTGACACCAGCTGGGGAACAAAGTTCAAAACGTGAGTCTGCGTGTGTGACAGCAGGGGAAGGGGCGGGTGGGAGGGCAAGGAGTTTCATTTCACATTCAAGGTGTGACGGGGGAGTATTAAAACGTCCAAAAAGTACAGAGGGTCTGTTGTTATATGAGAGATGGAAACTTCAAGGGAAGCTTCCTGGACAGAAAAAAAAATCAGGGTTTAACTCCCCTGGTAATACTTCTGTAGATGAGAAGACAAATTTAAAAGGTGGTGGCATCCTGAACGTTTTTGCTGGCTAACAAAATATTTCTCTATACATACCCTAGTGGACTCCCCACAGGTCTTGATACAATTCTTGGTTTTACTCACTGGCAATTTTGTTTGCTTTCAATCCATCTAACGGTCCACTCAAGTTCAAGTAAGAGAACGCATCGTTTTTCTGAAGAGAAGGCATTTAGGTATCCAAATGATAACTGAAAAATCACCTATGGATACAGATGACTTAAATGGTCTGTTAGCCTAGGTTAGCCTGACACATCCAATTGAGGAAGAGGAATTCTCCTGCATCCAGGGATAGTCATCCATCTACCCTCTTATCTACATGGTGCTCTACTCTAATTGTAATTTGTTTGAAACAGGCTCTCATATAGTCCAGGCTGGCCTTATACTCCTTCCCAAGTACTGGGATTACATGCAAGTACCTCTCCATACCTGCCTACTCTATGCCTTTTATAAAATCTACCCCAGTCATAATTGCAATTTCCTAGCTACCTCCTCCGGCCACAGATGTGTCCCCTCCATGCCCTTACTTACACTGAACACTGAAGATGCTGCCTCACTGGGAAGGTGGATCCTAGCATAGCACAGCAGTATAGAGCACTCGCGGTATCAAGTCTGTCTCCTGACTAAGCCCTCTTACTCCAGGAGGTTAGTTTATTATTTACTGTTTATTTAAAATTCTCAATGAGTTGTTTTTGTACCTCGAAGAAGGGTTCATACTCCATCCATAGACCTTTATTCGTTAATACTTTAAAAAAATTCTAGCTTCTCTTGACTCCTCAGGTGATAATATGGTGCCGTTGGTACCAATACCTTCTCTCTTCTCCTTTTTTCTTCTTCTAGAAAATTTGGCCAACTTAAATTTTAGCTTCATACTGTCAAGGCTGACAATGTTTACACTATATCCTGTAGCATAATCAAATACTATTGCATCTTGCTTTTAACTAGATTCTATAAATTTAAAATCAGTACTTACATTATTAAATATAATTGCTTTCTTACTGCAAAGTAGTAAAGATCATGACAGTGGCATTCTTGCCTAACTTTTATTCTTTAAAGTAATTGAGTCTATCATATTCCTTTTTGAATTAAGAAGATTTTTATTCTGGAAATTCAAATGTGGATTAAAAATGTTCAAATGAGTAACCATAATACATTGCGAAGGGAATTTAGCATTCAGCCTGCATGAGACTTACCATATTCTTAATTTATATTTCATGTTCCCCACCAAGTAAAATATTCTTCTATAGTAAAAATGACTAGTCGTCTCCCAAAGTTTGTTCTCTACTCCTACCATGATAGGCTGACATTAAGCCTAGTTGGACCCATGGGTATTTGGAACAAAAACAAAACCCAAAATACCTTTCCAAGATCTCTGTATAGCTAGGTAGAGTTTGAAGTCAGACCTGGCTGTGGGATTTAACTATGGTGCCATATTGTGGGCAACTTTCGCTTGATGTAAAACAAGAAAATGTGAAAGCCCGCCTTCTCCACTCTGTTCTGCTTCCTAATATCCAAATGGGACAGCTTGCATTCATTTTTGGTGCCTAAAGAAAACAAGGCAGAACAGAGTTCTGGATCCCGGGTCCTCCCACAGTGACCCCAGCTGTCCTAAGTACTTCCATTCAGATTTTTGCGTGGTAAGGAAATGCCTAGCTTGTTCAAACCTCCCCACAGCCCGAATACCAGCTTCCTTGCATTCGTGACTTACTTTCTTATCATAAAAAATAAGCAAACAACTTTGTTTCCTTTTGTTCCCTTGGTTTTCTTGAGCCATGGTTATTTGACATCTCGTCCCAGAAGGAAAATGAACAACCTACAGATACATTGGGTCTTTTTCCCACTGAGGGAGATGGGGTTTATTAAATCGTTTGTTTCTTCATTCTCTTACAAATTGGAAATTTTGAAAGTAAACTTTGCAATGTAAGCTTTGATACCAAAGCTATCCGCCTCCAGGCATGGTGACAAATACCCATATACCACTACCCGGGCTGCTGAGGCAGAAGTGAGCTGGGGACAGCCTGGACTGCAAAGCGAGATCTGTCCTGATAATTCTAATCACCTCTCAAAACAAAAGCCCACCAAGATGATAATACCATGGATTATCAGCTGAATGCTTAAAATAGATTTACTGTGTTGTGTGGCGGGGAGTGTCCATGCATATGTATACATCTGGAGGCCAAAGGTCAACCTTGGTTTTCTTCCTCGATCACCCTTCACCTTTTGTTTGAGGCAAGATCTCCCACTGAACCTGGAGCCTATCAGTTCAGCTAGACTGGCCCGTTTATTTCACGAAAGAACAAATACATGGAGAATGCTCAAACTGATTTTGGAGCACAGATGTAGGAGACAAAGCAGGCCACAAGGGCTGCTTGAATGGGTCTAGTGACACTTATTCTGAACCAAAGCATTTTCAGAGCTGAAGAGCGGTATAAAACAATGACTTCATTTAGCAGGCTGCAGTGTACTCTAGGACATAAAACTTAGAATAGGAGAAGAGAACAAAGAAAATAAGATCCTAAATGTAAATTGTTCTTCAGAACTAGTGTTTCATTCCTGATTTGCAGGAAAGGCCAGGGCAGGTGGGCAGCTAAGAAACCAGCCTACCCATTAAACTCAGCTTCTCTTCCATCCCTTAATTTCAGACTCTGATTCTCCAGTATTTCATGTCTAACTTTTTACAGCCAAGATTATCTCTTTAACTTTCACAACTTTTATCACCTAAGGATTTTCTCCTATCTATTCCTTTCATAATCTGTCCCTTCAGTTTCTTATCAAAACCTCCAACACTTTAGAAAACCAGAAGCACGGTCCCTGTGTTCCTTCTCACATTCACAATGTGCAGGGTTGCGTTCTGTTTTTTTGTATCTTGGTCCTTTTCACACAGAGACACGGTGGGAGCAGAGTGGAGGGAACAGAACGTTTCTTAAGCACAGAGCTATGGAAGGAAAGTGAGCTCAGTCTTTGGGATAACGCTTTCGTTAGACAGAGGAGTGGATGAATCTGTAAGCGAAGGGACTTGTAAAGCTTGACCAAGAGGAAATGCCTCCTCCTAGGTCAGTCCTTTGCTTTTATCTTCATCGGTGATGGCTTAAGTTTATTACTTGCCCAGTCAGATGCTACACACGTGATGTGTTGCTGACCCTGTGTCCTTGCTAGACTCTTGCGTTGAAGCTACTGATGAGTTCAAGGAACCTGATAAAAGGGAGAGAGAATAACAATGAACACTTATAAGCTACCTGGGTAATTCTTTTCTCTATGTTTGTACACATTGTGTCAATTAATGTTCACAATAATCCTGAGAAACAGCTAGCTGTTTGTTTAAAATTATCATTATCAGTATTACTATACATTGAGTTTGTGAGGGAAATCTAGAAGATCCATACTTAATCATGGCAATAGCACAATGCCTGGGCCACACTTAACAACTAAGGAACCATAAACACACAGTTAAGTAAATGATACGAATATTAGAAAATGCCAATGCATTACTATTGGACCTATAAGATACTAACGTATGTTTCAAGAACAAACCCCTGTATGTTTGTAGAGGAGTAAAAGAAAAAATAAAAAGCATTTTGAGTCAGTAACTTCGCAGTGAGGAATCTGGCTGATAAAAATCATCAGATCTCTAACATCTTAAGTACAAGAATGCCTATGCAGAGTTGTTTATAACTGTTAAAACAATACCAAAATAGCTTGAATGGTTGCCTAAAGGTGTTTGGTAAGTAAATTGTAGTATAAATAGGATATATTTATATATTATAAAACTTTTTAGGAGATTGTTAATGGCATATAACAGAGTTATGTGGCCATCATAATCAGTATGCAGCTAACTGAAAATAGCTTTTAGCTAAAAACACACATGGGAAAACTTACCTGTACTCATTCTACTTAAAAACAACAGTGTAGTTTAAGTGTTTGCTTAAAAGATATACCGGGAAAACTGATATAATGGCAGATGTCAGAAATCATCGACAAAAGAAGATTATGAGTTTCTGAAAGACTATCAGTGACTGCGTCTAACATAGCATACAGCTCAGAGTGGAGAGATACACCGGTTAGCGCAGATGGAGGGGAGACCAGCAGGTGAGGCAGGCCCCTTAGAGACACAGTCAGCGCCTTGGAAAGGGCCTAAAGCGCGGCTCAGTGTGTTTAAGAGCTGTTAGTTCTTTCTGTGGCTGCTGAGTCAGGATCGCTCTGACCACCTCATCTGTGAGCAGGCCTACGAAAGCCTCCCTGTAGTGTGGCTGAGTTAGATGCCCGTCTAGAGAGAAAAATTGCTTCCAGAGTAGAGGCTGCTTGTCTTGGAGCAGGGCCTGCCAGTCCACACACCTCGCCCACCATCACAAAGCTTGCAGCGAGCCTTTTCACGCAGGAAGGACATCACTGCCAGAGGAAATGTTAGTCAGTTGTGGGTAATAAACAGCATCTCGTTCTGTTGATAAACACACTGGACAACTGAGCATCAGTAGGCACTTGATTTTAGAAGCTGTGGCAAGAACAAGTCTATGGGTTTATAAAATCATTCTGTTATCGTTTTTTGGAATACAAGAGAAACACATTGCATCTAGGGCCAGAGGACTAGTTCTCAATAGTGGGGTCTGAGCAGAAATATACTACCTCCGGTCTTGGTCCAAACTCAAAATCTCAACCGTGTTATTGTCTCGATAGGCTCTTCCAGCAGTGATGAAAAGCTGTGTAACCTCTCATGGAGGACTTCTGCCCAGGAAGAACTACCTCTGAAGACAAGCACTGGCCTCTGTGTTAAGAGAAGTAAAACCAGTGTCCATTTGGTTAATGAACTAAGGAATTGGGGGTTTTCTTTAACCAGTGGCATTATTTACCCTACTGATACAGCCGCATAAAAGACAGAGGCCAAGACTATCCAACAAGATGACCCCAGAGGAGACAGAATTGATTGACTGAAAGACAAGAGCCGTAGCTGAATCCTAAGTCTCATGTGTTTTATTTCCTTTTGCTTTGAGACAAAATCTTACTGTATAAAGAATTCATTTAATGAATAAAAAATTATTTAGATGAGAATTCTGAGGAAAACTGAAAATTGTCACAGACAAACAACATACAGATAGAAAAGATTAAAGTGAAAAGCTAAACACAATAAGGAAACTTGAAAAATAATTTCATTAAATTCTATAATAATACAAATATAAAATAGAAAAATAATATTTTTCGAAAATCAACTACAGAAAATAGCAATGCAGGTGCAAGTCACCTACAAAGGGTTGAGAATCATAGCATCAACTGAATTCTCAGTGACAGTGTGATTAGCAGAAATAAATAGACTAAGGTTTTCCATCAAACTACCAAAAAAAAACTTGTTTACACCCCTATTCTATACCTAATCAAAATATTCATCAAGCATAAAGATAGCATAGAGTCAATTTCACATATGTGGGGATTGAATTATTCCTGAAACAAATATTAATATAGGTCCCACAACAAAATATAATCTTCAAAAAGAAAAGGTAGACGTAAGAAACAATGATGCAATGAGAAATTTTTCAAAATTCTATTAACAGCAGTGAATATCTTAGGAAAATGATATATTTCAGACACTGCAAGAATTGAAATATTAAAGAAGGTGAGCAATCTTAGGCAGAATGTGAGCCAATGCTCCACCCCAGGACTTTGTCAGAGAGCTGTGAGTATACCAGACACCAACAAAGACACCAAACTATGCATTGGCTCAAGCTTGTGTTGTCAGTACTGATGGGCAATCATCAACACTGCCAACTGTGGGTGCCAATGATTAGTACTGTATAACATTCCCCCAGGCTTTGAGATGACGACCTAGCAACCTGATTACTGGTGACCCCCTTTTGTCACCAGAGAACCAAACCTAATTTCAGTGCATATATTTTAAAGGAGAATTGTCTTTCCTTATCTATAGTGCTGCTGTAAGCATCAATATCCTTGACGTTTTTTGACAAAATATCTTATTTCATAGTTTTATGATTTATACCCACGGAATGTTCAGTTATCACAGGCTCCCTCTCAGAAGCAGCTTGATGAAAGTATGGAGTGGCCTGGCTATGAAAAGTTTCCCCACATGGCTGACCTGGAAGGCTAGAACAATATGCTAGAGTGTGTGACATATATATCATCTTAGGAGAGACATGTTGCCTTATCTCTTCTTGCCGGAACACTGGAGGCTGAGAAATCAAGGAGCAGATCTAGGACTGAGCCTTTCACTGTTTTACCTTACAGACCAATAAAGACTTTTCTTTCTTTTCAACACCTTGTTCCATTTCTATTCATGGGAGAATTGTTTCCACCGAGAAGAAAAGTCATTGTTTCACTAAATGGGAAGCTGATACTGTCCTCTGACACTTATGGTTGCTCACGATGCTAAGACAACAAGCAACAAAGTTAGACAAAGGCTTGGATTCTCATGACCATTTATGAGTCTCGTGGCCACTCATGGGAAAGTTGGTGGCTGTTGCACTATGGAAGCAAGCAGATTTTTTCCAATATTGCCCACTATTCCTAGATAATATGTCATCAATTCACAGGCTAGAAGTTCAATGACAATATACTCAAATCCTCTGAAAATGAAGATATGATTCATTCTAACAAAGAACTCCATCCATGTGAGCTGCTTGAAGAAGAGAGAGAAAACTTAATGGGAAGTAAGTACATAAGCATGGACTAAGGCAGCCAAGTATTGCATTATCTAACCCCTCTAATTTTTATCCCTACTCTATAACAAATACACCTTGTAAGATGTCTGGGATACTGACTAACTACAGTTTTAGGTTTTAGTTGGATTATGATAATTCCCTGTTCTTTATTCCCTTGTTGCTTTACAGAGCTCAGACACTTGCTTCTCCTGCCCCTGTGCTCCTGCTTCATACAAAGCAACTCTATTCAGCCATGAATCTGCATGAAAGAGACCTTCTAAGAAAATATTAGGTGCTGGAACAAGCAGACCCCAAGCTGCACGACCATAGTGATGACTTATGACTTGGTCATGGAAAGTCCTAAATGGTGGATTTGGGTTGATAGGAATTACCTCTCTTTTTAAGGAAAACCTCAAAGACTCAAGAATGGTTGCTGTTTTCATAACTGCTATTTAAAAGAATATAATTTCCAAAATCTTTCTGCTTAGTTGCATCATCGGGAAACAGAAAATAAAACACAAAGTGCACTTGAGTACACTTGCTATAATCTTGTTGGTCTGGACACTTAACAGGGTTTGATATGGTCTCTGATCTCTCTCTCTCTCTCTCTCTCTCTCTCTCTCTCTCTCTCTCTCTCTCTCTCTCTCTGTTCTTCCCTTCCTCCCAGCTTCTTTTTTGTTTTTCCCATTTCCTTATGTTTTCTCAGAACCCATTTGGAATCTCCAAGTGGTGATTATTTTTTTTTAACATCTCTAGAAAAAGGGATTGAAGAATACAATTATAATGAATTGCATGACTGATTATGACCAACCATGAACAGTATCTAAAGAAAGAGAGGTGGTTAGTCTGAACCCTTCCTTATAGATACACATCTACCTACCCCAAAGGGTGTTGAATCAGAATCAGCTATACTCAGTGCAAGTGAGCTTCAAGTGAGCTTGCTTACTTCTGCTTCATTAATAGATTACCAAGAAAGTTGTCCCTACATACAGTAAATAAGGTACAATATGGAAATTTACGTTTGCATGTTACATTTAGCCCAAAACAAAAATTTTAAAAACGGCAACCAACCTGACTGGCTCATTGTATTTAAAAGGCTATTTAAGAGAATCACATAGAACAAAAATGAATCTCCCCATCGAAAATATTTTTATCATTTTTAAAAAATTTTAAAACATACCAATCCCAGTTGCTACTCCCTCCCCTCCTCCTGGTCTCCCTCCCTCCCTCCCCTTCGCTATCCACTCCTCAGAGAGGGTAAGGCTTCCCACTGGGAGTCAACGAAGTCTGGCACATCACTTTGAGGTAGGACCAAGCCCCACCCCTGCACCCCCTGTATCTAGGCTGAGCAAGGCACCCATGTAAAGAGAATGGGCTCCAAAAAGCCGGTTCAAGCACAGGGCTAAATCCTGGTTCTCCTGCCAGTGACCCTACAGACTGCCCAAGTCACACAACTGTCCCATTCAGAGGGCCTAGTTTGGTCCTGTGCAGATCCCCCCACCGTCAGTACGGAGTCAGTGAGCTACCACTAGCTCAGGTCAGCTGTTTCTGTGGGTTTCCCCAAAATGGTCTTGACCCCTTTGCTTGTATTACTGCTCCTCTCTCTCTTCAACTGGCCTCTGGGAGCTCCGGCCCAGAGTTTAGCTGTGGATCTCTGCATCTGCTTTCATCAGTTAATGGATGAAGGTTCTATGCTGATAATTCAGGTAATCATCAACCTGATTACATGGGAGGTCAGTTCAGGCACCCACTCCGCTGATGCTTAAGGTCTTAGCTGGGGTCATCCTTGTGGATCCCTGGGGATTTCCCTACCGCCAGGATTCTCCATAGCCCCACAATGGAGTACTGCTCAATCGTTAAAAACAAAAACAAACAAGAATGAAAACCAATGATGTCATGAAATTTTCAGGCAAATGGATGGAACTAAAAAAACAAAACAAAACAAAAACAAAATCCTGAGTGAGGTCACCCAGACCCAGAAAGACAACCACGGTATGTACTCACTCGTAAGTGAGTATTAAACTTAGATGTAGAACAAAGGATGGCCAGCCTATAGTCCACGGCCCCAGGGGAGTTAAGAAACAAGGAGAACCTTAAGAGAGACATATGTGGACCCCCCCCCGAGAACAGGAAATAAACAAGATCTGAGAAAAATTGGCATAGGGCCAGGTGGGGGCTCGGGAGGGGTAGGGAGGAGAGGAGGGGGGAAGAACATGAGGGAAGGGGATGGCTGAGATGGGGGAAGGACAGAGAGGGAGAGCCAGGAAAGAGATATCTTGATTGAGGGATCCATCGAGAATTTTTTCTGAAATATTATAGCATATACTATTTATTATATATTATATAGTATGTTTTTTATTAATTTATTTTTTTACATTCCAATCCTAGTTCCCCCTCCCTCCTCTCCTCCCACTCCTCCCCACCTCCCATCTGCTCCACAGAGAGGGTAAGGCCTCCCCTAGGAAGTCTACTAAGTCTGTCCCATCATCTCTTTGAGGCAGGACCAAGGCACCTCTTCACCCCACACACCCCTGTGTCTAGGCTGAGCAGGGTATCTCTCCATATAGAATGGGCTCCACTAAGTCAGTTTGTGCATTAGAGTTAGATCTCAGACCCACTGCTAGTGGCCTCATATATTGTCCCAGTCATATCATTGTCACTTTAAGGGAGTCACATCATTGTCATATTAAGGGAGTCTAGTTCGTTCTTATGCAGGTTCCCCATTTGTCAGACCTGAGTCAGTGATCTCTCGCTATCTCTGGTCAGCTGATTCTGTGGGTTTCCCCAACATGATCTTGACTTCTTTGTTCATATTATTGTTCTTCCCTCATTTCGATTGTACTCCAGGAGCTTGGTTCATTGGTTAGTTTGGATTTCTGCATCTGTTTCTGGAAGAGGGTTCTAGCTTCTCTGTGGGGGAGGGGTGTAGGGTATCTATAACCACATCCTTGATCACATCCTACTGATCTCTACTGCCTAAATGTTCATGAGTTGACTTGTCTTTCTGTCAACCAGCTTCTTAGCTTACAAAAAAGCATTTAACGGCATTTAGCATCTGAGATCATTGAGAAAGGTGTGCATTGCAGCTATTCACAAACTTCTTTGAGTTCCAACAAAAAACCTTGAAAGACTATAATAGACTGCTTGCAAAGACATAAAAGTGTTCTATAGATTAAATTATACAATTCAGAAACAAACCAATTACTAATAAAAGAGATAAGTGGGAATAGGTATTTGCAATACAATAAAATAACTTCGGTGTAATTAACTTAGATCATAGAATTCCCTTGTCTTCAAGAGTATTGCATCCACCACCTCTATCACCATCACTATGAAAGGGACTTAATTGAAGAATTATTTTATAAAAATGTTTATAGAATACAATTATGTCAATATTCATCTGATCATTCAGAATTAAAAGCCTTCATCAGAGAAACCATTCTAAAACCTTAAAACTTCTAGTCTGAACTAAGAAGAGAGAAAAATTTTCAAATCCCACCTCTATGTTTTTATTGGTGTTTATGCCTTAAGCTATGAGCGTTTATCTGAAAAATTATTCCAAGTTATAAGACAGAAAAGTGCATAATACCCTGTTAGCTTATTTGAAGATTCTGCAGGCTCTCACAGGAGAGTTATTTAACATGCCATCATTATTAGTCTTCAGAATGAATTACTCGAATTTGGAATGCATTACTAAGCCCCTTCTTAATCAGCCATCTCACTCGGTTCCTACCACATTCAAATTAAAGAAAATGATAGCTCTTGGAGACCATTAGGAATAATTATCCTTTTACAATCTATAATTTGATCACAGATAATTATGTGATGTAACAATAGAATAATTAGACTTGTTTCTCTATCTGTGTTTGTGTGTGGCCTGTTCATGCCACAATTGCTAGATTATCTTTCTTTTTAATTTTTTTGAGATTATAATATAATCACATCATTTCCCCTTTCTGTTTCTTCCCTCCAAAGCCTCCCATATACCACACTGCCCCCACCTTGCTCTCTTTCAAATTCATTTCTTTTTCTTTAATTTTCATTGCATTTTGTTGTTACATTGTGTGTGCTTCTAAACATGTAACTACAACCTTCTCAGTCATTACATTGTTACTTGTATGTATATAAACATATACTGACCATTTTTATTAATTTTTAATTTAAATTTAAAACAATCTTATTTTATATACCAATCCCAATTTCCTCTCCCTCCCATTCTCCCCCTCCCCCACCATCTCCCATCCCACCCCATCTCTGTCCACTGCTCAGAGATGGTGCAGCCTCCCATGGGGGAATCTTCAAAGTCTGCCATTTCATTTGGGACAGGACCAAGGTCCTCCCCCTGTGTCTAGGCTGAGAGAGTAACCCTCCATAGGGAATGGGCTCCAAAACGTCAGTTCATGCACTAGGGGTAAATACTGGTTCCACTGCCAGAGGCCCCACAGACTGCCCAAGCCCCCAACTGACACCCACATTCAGGGGGCCTAGTTCAGTTTTTTGCAAGTTCTGAAGCTATCAGTCTTGCTCAGGTCAGCTGTTTCTGTGGGTTTCCCCAACATGGTCTTGACCCCTTTGCTCATCACTCCTCCCTCTCTACAACTGGACTCCAGGAGTTGGGCTCAGGTCTTAGCTGTGAGTCTCTGCTTTTATTTCTATCAGCTACTGGATGAAGGCTCTATGATGGCATTTAAGGTAGTCATCAATATCATTATAGGGGAAGGGCATTTAAAATAGCCTTTCCACTATTGCTTAAATTGTTATTTGGGGTCATCCTAGTGGATTTCTGGAAATTCCACTAATTCCAGGTTTCTCATTAAGCCCATAACGGCTCCGTCTATCAAGGTATCTCTTTCCTTGCTCTCCTTCTCTGTCCTTCCCCCCACTGGACCTTCCTGATTCCTCATGTTCTGATCCCCACTCCTCTTCTCCCCTCTTCTCTTTCCTCCCTCTCTCCCCTCTCCCCCATGCTCCCAATTTACTCAGGAGACCTTGTCCCTTTCCCCTTCTTTGGGGGTCCATGTGAGTCTCTCTTAGGGTCCTCCTTGTTTCCTAGCTTCTCTGTCGTCATATACTATAGGCTGGCGATCCTTTGCTCTACGTCTAATATCCACTTATGAGTGAGTACATACCATATCTGTCTTTCTCATCCTGGGTTAACTCACTCAGGATGATTTCTTCTAGTTCCATCCATTTTAACAATGCCCTAGGAAACCTGGTAAACTCAATGAATGTCATAGATACACCAGATTTAGATGATCACAATATACATTGTATCCAAAACGTTTTCATTTTTCCTCAATACTGGAAAAATAAATTCCGTAGAAAAGCATATACTAGATTATTTCATTGGGCAGACACTGTTAGGAAAAAAATAAGCAAAGGACACAGAAATGGCTTGGGAATGTTGGTGAGTCCTGGGGAGGAGAAAGGCATTGCTTTAAAGAAGAAGTGTCTGGTCTTACTGCAGCTCGATATGCCATGACTGGCTGAAGAACAAAGAGAGGAGAAGATGGAGGGCGGAGACAGTGGAGT